ACCTCGTGGTCACACAGCCTGGTGTGCTTCTTCCATGTGGGCTTTGTTGCTTCTGAGCTAGATGGCTGCTTGTTTATCCACAAGCCTTTAAGACCCCAGACGCTATAGCTTTTGATAGCCTTTCTTTTCTTTTAAGGTACTCTGAGAGAACTTGTCCACAGCCTGTGTAAACACATGTTGTTGCGACCAACCCGTGCATGTTTGACCTGCATCTCCAGGAGCAAGGCTGTTTTGCCTTAGGCATCCACCCCACATGCAGTCTACAAATCAGGAACTTGCGGTTCCCTACGACAGTTCACACGGCTGTGGGTAGGGCCTGCACTTGGGTGCTCCTTCTACCCTGTAGACGCAGTGCTGCACAGACAGCAGCACAGCGCAGTCGCGGGGTTGCCCTGCCGTGGCGTGGTCCCCGGCGTAGGCTTCATCTTTGTCTCCCAAGGAGCAGGTGAAAACTTTTGTGTCCTCAGTGGCCTAGGCCCTGGGGAAATATACGATCCATAAGGGAGGGAACAAGGGAGGGAGGAGGCAGCCCAGGTGTGGGTATAGAGGGCCCACCTCTGTGGAGCCTGGCACCATACTCCTAGGCACGGGGGGTAGGTGGGGGAGGCAAAACATAACGGGATGATGATGGGAGGTCTAGCTTTGGAGAGGTCCTGCCAAGTGCTCATTCCCAGGGGCCCGGGCTCCAGGTTCTGTCCCACAGGCAAACTGTCCAGGGAGGGCCAGGTCAGGTTCTATGCCACCACGTCCTCCCAGGATTCCTCCTCCTGTGCGAGCCAGGGCCGAGTCACTGGGCCATCTGGAAGTGCCCAAGGGTGCGCGCACAAGCCCTGCTGCCCACAGGGCAGTTTTGAGGGATCTGCTGGGAGCGAACATCATCCCAGATTCTAGAGAATGACCCTGGGTGGGGGAGGGGAAGAGAGTGGGCCTGGCACCAGAGGGAACCTGGCTGAGAGCCTAGCTGGCCCATCATGCCAATCCTTTCCAGAAGTGTCCTCTCATCCCTGGGCTGAACCCGGAGAGCTCAGGGGGCACAGCAGAGCCAGTCGTGGGCAGGTGCTTCTGCACACACACCCAGGCCCAGGCCCTGGCCCTGGCCACAGTGTGAGAGACCTGAGATGCACCCCAGCCCCTCTCAAATTAGAGACACCATCTTTGGACCCCATTCCGTTCCTTCACCTGTTCTTCCCCTCACCCCTCTCCCCAGTACTCAAGGATCTGTGATGCTGGAGACACTGGGGGATGGAGGGGCGGGGAGGCATATTCAGGAGTGAGGACCCATCTCAGTGGTGGCTGCCCGGCCACCTGCACACCTGCTCGCCAGCACTGCTCCCCTCCGCCCCGGCCTGAGCAACCAGACAGGCCCACACGGAGCAGCCTCAGCTTGGGGTGGGAACAGGACAGCCGTAGGTAGCCCTTCCCTTCCAGCAACCTCAGGACAACCTGTTAAGGGGCCCGGACTGCTACACGCATCCAGGCCGCCCTCCCTGCTCATCAGCAGAGGGGCCATCTGGAGAGGCCAGCGGGCCTGGGAGGGACTTTAAAACGAGATAGGAGTACTTCCTGACACCTGCAGCCTGGCCTGTCCATGCTGCCCTCCACGGCCAACCCCTTCCCCACTCCAATCCTTCACTAGCCCCTCCTCTAGACCTGTGGGGGTGTCCCCAGCAGCCCTTTGCTGCAGGAGCTTCCCTTTCTCCTCTCACCTCTGCTTGTCACCTCAGCAGGGCCAGCCCTGGCCTGGGTCTGTGCAAAGCCCCGGGGGCCTTCCTACTCACCTAGCCACTCCCCAGCCATGGCAGGCCTCTGTACCCGGGGATCCACCGGCCCCAGGCCCAGCAGCCTCTTCTCAGGGCGCATTTCAGCCAGGCCTCCTGGCCCCAGGCATCCCCTCCCCCCAGCAGTGGGGGTGGCGGCAGGGGCTGCAGCTCTGAGATGTCATCCATCCCTGTAAGTGATACATCTGTGCGGGTGTCTGCTGCATCCAGACAAGAGCTGGGGCCTGCTGGCTCCTCCCAGCTGTGAGGCCAAGCTGCGCTTCACCGCCTCCTTCTGCCACAGCCACTCTACACCTTCCACCGCTCCACCTTCTCAGGACCCGGACTTGGGCCCGCCCCTGGCAGGGGCCCCTCGGATCGCAGGCTGGACCTCATAGGCACAGGGCCCCACGACCCAGCGATTCAGTTTGCCAAACTCTGTCCTTGGCACGAGCCCACGGGGTAAGGCCATGCTCACGCTCATTACTGCCCACCCCACTTCACTCCCAGAGAAGATGAGGGGCACGGAGCAGTAGGAGCAGTGCGTCAGCTGAAGACCCTTACCTTTTAGTTTCCTCCCCTCACACAGGTGATACACACACACACACACACACACACACACACACACACACAACTGGCTTTCTGAGACCAAAGGGCATTTTCAAGTGGTTCTACTTAATATCCTGTGATGTAGCAAGGGGGGGCTTGTGCCCCTCCTATCTCCTGCCCTCACCCCAAATTGGCTGCTTTTGAGTCAGGCGACAGGCACACCCCCACGGGCCATACAGCAAGAGACCTCGGGTAACAGTGCGAACCCGAGAGGCAGGAGCAGCCTCTCAGACGGCTACTTACACAGGGCAGACAGGGGGCCTAGGAGAGTCGGGAACGGGCAGGGTGGGGGCTCGACTTGAGGGGAAGCCTCGGGTTCCAGGGTCCCCATACCCTTCCTCACTGAGCTCAGGATGTCAGAGATCCGGGGGGCTGGGGTGGAACAGACAGGTGGTCAGCACAAAGCAGGCCAATGGTGCACACAGAGGGGCTTGGTGGGGAGGCTGGTGGGGGAAGACAGGGGTGGAAGAGTTTGTGGGGAGCTTGGGAGATTGTGGGGGACAGATGTGGAGAAAATGCAGGTGTTTGGGGGGATAGGGGAGAACATGGAAGCTGTGGAGGAACAGGATGGAAGAGTTTGAGGGAGGTTGGGGGCCATAGAAGACCACGAGGGTAAAGGGGGAGAGGAGTTGGGGGACTTGGGGAGTATAGAGGAAGTGGGGGGCTGTGGCGAAACACAGAACAATGGGGGAGCTGTGGGAGACCCAGGGGACATGAGAAGGCATAGACATGGGGAGTGGGGGCCTGGCACTGAGGGGGCTCCAGGACCTAATGTGTACCTATGTGTGAAGTAGTGTTGAAAGCGGCGTTTGCAGAAGGTGGCCCTCTGAGAAGGGGCCGGTGCCCCCTGGCTGCTGCATAGAGCCTGGCGAGGGTGGGGTGGTGGTGGTTGGGGTGAGGCGCCTGGAGCTGGAGAGGGTCAGGGAGCAGCTATGGGGTTTGGGAAGAACAAGCAGGTGGAAAATGAGCATGGGAGTGTGTGTGTGTGTGTGTGTGTGTGTGTGTGTGTGTGTGTGTGTTTTACGGGGGAGCCTCTGGGGGGAAGCTGGGGCAATCCACTCCACCCCCTTCCCCTCATCGGAGTTAGCACAGAATGCCACACCAGAGGTCTGCACAGCTCGGCCCCAGGCAGTGGTTCAGGACAGGGCAGAGACGGTGTAGGGGTACAGGGAAGCCTCTCAGCCCCCAGGCCATTCGCAGGGAGCCCCCAGCAGCAGGGCAGCAGGCCTGCAGTGGCTACTTACATGGGGTGGACAGGGGGCCTAGGAGAGTTGGAGACAGGCAGGGTGGGGGCCCCTCAGCTTCAGGGGTCCCTGAGCCCCTCCTCACCGAGCTCAGGATGTCAGAGATCCTGGGGACTGGGGTGGAACAGACGGACAATGAGCAACGGATGCAGCATGGGAAAGTTGGAGGAGAGGATACATGGGGAGTCCAGGGATGGGGAGCCTGTAGGTTCAACCTGCTTTGTACACTGACTTCCCTTTTCCAGTGGAGCCTGTACATGCCCTGCCTGCTTTGTACACTGACTTCCCATTTCCAGTGGAGCCTGTGGCTCCCTGGCACGAGGGCAGGAGGGGAGCCCTCAGTGTGAGGAAAGGCTCCTCGGCTTCACTGCGTCCAGAGCGCCAGGTGCCCGGGTCAGCATGTGGGACGCAAAGCTATGGGCCATCCAGGGAGCCACAGCCAGAGGGAGAGAGCAGTGTGGCTCACACCTGCCAGAGCAGACAGGCCACACTGCCTGCGATTGATGATTGATTGGGAAGGTCGTCAGTGTTGCACTGCGCTGGCTTGGGAGGTCCAGCAAAGCCCCCAGCCTGCCTCCAAAGGGCACGCCGGTTCCTGCCAGGGCTCTTCCCATCTTCTTCCATCAAGCGGAGGGACTGGGGAGGAGGCTGTGGGGCTGAGGGCCTCTTCTCTTCCTACCCGTCCTGAAGGGCTGCTGGCATTCAGGCTGGCGGTGGTACTCTGGGTCTATGTATGTTGCCCACACGGAGCCAGAACCAGTGCATTCTGAACCTCTGTCTGTGGGCTGGGCCCTGGGGAGGCCCCCTAACCCTGCCAGATCACAGGGGGCTCTGGCTGATCAACCACGGGAGGCAGCACTCTTGTCTCTGTCAAGGGTGTTGGGTGGGGGGGCTGTTAGAGCTGCCCCGGCACGGTGCTGAGTCACCTACAGGCGCACCTGGAGACAGGGATTGGAGCTCTTGCCGTAATGGGGGCAGCGGGCAACAGGGGCAAAGCCACATGGTTAAACAGGGATGGGACTGGGCCTGACCAGACCGTGCAAGGCCCTGGACCTTGACAGGGTCCAGGCACCACCACCAAGGCCAGGGGGCTGGCTTAGCCCTGCGGCCTGCGCAGGTCTAGAGCCTCGGTGTGAAAGGACCCATCAAGCGGTGTCACCCACGTCCCTCGCGGGGGCCTGGGATGAACCCAGCACAGGAGGGCAGGTTCTTGCTACTCAGCAAGCACAGCCCAGCGTGCTCCCGAGCCCCCCTCACACATCCCCGGTGATGCTGCCCATTCGCGTGTCGCCCAGAGCCACGACGGAACCCAAAGCCTCCGAAACCGTAGGCGAAGAAAAGCACCGTGAACCGTCTGGAGCAGAAAGGGTCTCACGGACATCAGCCTGCCTGACACCTGCCCGTTTATCCCGGGTGGTGAGAACCACGGCCAACACCGGGTCCCTCCGCAAGAAGACACGCCCACGCGGTAGGCTCCTCCCCCAGGCTCTCTCCCCTCCCCCTCCCCCATCCCACCGGCCAGCCCCCAAGGCCAAGGAAGGGCAGGGGTGGGGGAGAGTACCTTTTGTGTCTTCATCCTCTATGGTGGTGTTGGTGCTGTCGGAGGACTCCTGGGGAAATGGGAGCAGTCAGGTCCCTGTGCCCCATGGGGAGCTGGTGCTCAGGGCGGGTGGCAGGTGGGGTCACCCCCGGGGGATGGCCAGAGTCCCGAGATGGGCCTGTATGCAGCCCACTCCCGCGGCATCGATGACAGGGGCCTCGGGTCACCTAGGGGACTGAGTGACTGCGAAGGCGCCTGCCTCCTAAAGCAGAGATCCAGTCCAGAACACCACACCCAGCCACGCCTGGGGGAGGGGGCGGGCCACCCGAGGCATTCTGGGGCTTCTGAGGACCCACAGGAACCCTCGCCCCTTGCTGTTCCCAGGCACTGGGCCACCTCCCGCTCAGCAGCGAGACCTCGCCCCCAAGGCAGACATCCCTTTCACAACCAGGCAGGCGGGGCGAGGCTCCCTTTCCCAAGACACCAGAGGAGGCTTTTGAATTCGCAAGACCTCACATGAGATGGGACCTGAACGCCATCGACTCTTGGTGAGACAGAGAAATGTCCCAACGACATGGAGCCAGCAGGCCTGAGCAAGCAGTCACTCACAGACCCTTCTCTGGCAGGGATGTGGGGTGGGATGTGGGGTGGGGGTGTCCCACCAGGGGTGATGGATCCAATGGTGCCGCTGACCCCGGGCGTGGCCTGACCTGGACCCGTGGCCCAGCTCTGGCTCACTGCCCTTGGACCAGAGCTCAGGACCATCCAGCAGCTCCCAGTCCCCCGCGAGGTCCGCTCATGTCCTCAGAAGAAACACCTTCACCCAGGTGTCCTGAAGGACAACTCTCTCCCCACCAACTGGACGCAACACCTGTGCCTGAAGTCAGAAGTGTGTGTGTGTGTGTGTGTGTGTGTGTATGTGCACACATGTGTCTGTGTTTTGGGTGGAGGGGGAGAGGCTTTCGGTGGCAAGATCAGGGTTCAGCACCGCCCCAGGCGGTTGCCTGCAGGCCCCCCGGAAGGGAGAGTGTCCTTCCGCCCCAGACACACTGTCTGGAGGAAGGCGCCCAAGCGGTGGGATGAGTGACACTGGCCCTTCTCTCTCGCCGCCTCCCTGCCCACCCCAGGAGAAGGTGGAGCCAGCCCAGTCCCATGTCTTCTGGGAAAGAAGGTAGGGGTGCTAGGAGGAGTTGGTGGCCTGGTGGAGTCCCAAGGATTGTGTGTGAACCCAGACCCAGACAGGCCGGGGCACAGCCATCTGACCCCACCTGCCACTCTCTCCTCCCTCCCTGAGGCGGGTGAGGATGCGATGAGCAATGGGAGCTGGTGAGCAGAGAAGGAGGGAGAGAAGAGAAGGGCTGTCCAGGGAGGCCAGCGGGGAGAGTGGGGTGTGGACGTGCTCCCTGCCCTTGCAGGGCCAGCACGGATGGGCGCAGCGGGCAAGGAACCTTCAGGCAGCCTTCTCCTAGGACTGTTTTAGTAGCTCCAGCTAAGCTAGGCAGTCCTGGCCGTAGACAGCAGGCTGTGGGGCAGATCCAATCGGGAGCCCTAGCCCTGTGCTCCCGGAGACCTCTTGCTAATGAGGGCGCTGGATGTCCCATGGACTCCATTAGCCTGTTGCTGGGCACCTGGAGAGTCCCTGCAGGGCAGCAACTGCCTGGCCTCAGTTCTCTGAGTCAAATGCCCATCATCTATCCTACAGCCATCCAGATCGGAGGCTGCCTCCTACACAGTGCCTCCAGGCCACTCCTGTACCCCGGTCAGCACGCAGGCTGAGGGCGGAAGGAGGCGGGAGGGCAGCGCTGGCCAGACTGCTATCTGCCTCCTCCCAGGCAGGAGCTCCCACAGCGCACAAGGAAAGAGGCGGCAGTACCTTAATCCCGTCCGCGGGGTTATGGATAACGGTGGTTTGAGGCTCCTACAGGAGAAGGAAGACAACAGAGGAGGAGAGAGAGGGAGAGTGAGAAAGCAGGAGAGCCAGACATGGAGACAGCGAGCGAGCCAGCAAGCGAGCAAGGAGCGCAGGCTGTGCATGGAGTGGGCCGGGGGAGGGAGTCAGGGCTGCTCCTGAAGAAGGGCTCCAAGAGGGGCTGGGAGCAACATGGATGAAGGTGACTGCTTCCGAGTGGGAGAGGGCCCGGCTGTCCCCAGAGAAGGGAAGAGCATGGCTGGGTGAGAGCTTGGGTGTTGCCGGGAGACCCTCGTGGCTCTCTGGACCTCCCATCTCAGTGTGGTGGGGCCCACAGGTCTGAGGTGGACGTGGCAGCCGGGGGTGGGGGGCACACAGTGATGAATGAATGGTGCAGGATGGAGATTGTGCCTGAGGCCTTTCAGGGCCACTGCCCGCCCACACTGGAGCTCCAGCCACTTCCTGCTGCCCCGCAACCACAGCTCTCTCGCCGGAGACTGCCTGCCCTTGCGTACAAACCTTGATCTCGGGATGGACATGGGGGAGGGCAGCCCCAGCCTGGGGAAGGAGCCTCTGCACCTGCACACCTCAATCTCTCAGGATGACTTGCTCAGACCAGGTCTTGTGCTCTTGGGGGCAACAGCCAGGGCTTCTTGGTAGGGAGGTCCAGGGGGCCCTCTGCGTTCCCTATGCCCAGCGGGGTTTGTGCGCTCTTGCAGGTGGCCCTGTGGCACACACACACACTTCCTGCACCTTTGCTTTTCTGCCTGTCTGAAGAGCTCCCCGTACAGCCGTTGTCAGTGCAGGCTTTGCTCTGTGCCTGGTCTCACTGAGCCCCGCTTGGACTGTGGCCCATGTGGACTGATGGTCGAAATGACCCTGGCTTTGGGGCTGGTGTGGGGTGGACGGGTGGATCGGGGGGTGAAACAGGGCCGGCAGGCCAGGTTTGTCCCTGCTGGGGACAGGCAAAGACCCTCGGGCTCTCTCCTCCCTTTCTATAGGCTCCTGGGTGGGTGCAGATGCCAGGAGCAACTCCTTCTCTTATAGACACAGCCCACGGAGTGGCCCACTTGGTCAGGGGCAGCACAGCGTCCACCTTCCACACACGGAGATCTGGTAGTGACCCAGAGAGAGGGACCAGGACAGGAGAGGACCTCACTTCCGGTGGCACCTAAGGACACTACTCTGGGCAGAGACAGCCAGCCCTTAGAAGCTAAGCAAGACTCAGCATCAGCCTCCCCAATCCCTGGCTGCACCCGGCCCCCAGGAAAGTACAGAACCCCAACTCTCTGTGCCCTCCGCTGCCTCTCCAGGGGGTAGGGGTGGAATCCACAAGTCATATGAATTGTGATGAAGGGGCTTCAGTGCCCACCTGACCTTCGGCCCATGACAAAATCTCTTACCCACAGGTTTGCCTGACCCTCACTCTACAGGGAGCTACAGGGGCCCAGTATGTGCCTGTTGGTGACTCTGAGCCTCGGATGGAGGGGACAACCACGTGGCCTGGGACAAGAGAAGGGCCAAGAAGGAGCCAGTACCAGGGCAGCAGGAGGCAGCGTCCCCTTGGGGCTGGTGACTGCGGCATTGTTTTTGGTGCTATTCGTCTGAGGCTGCGGAGAGAAGGCAGAGGCGTGGGTAAGAGGCGAAGGAGACACAAGCAGGGAGGGCTCCGGCCCCTCATGCCTGCACAAAGCGGCCCGCCCCCCCCATGCCCAGTCAACGTCCTCACCTTGACTCCATCGGCCTTCTTGTTCAGTAGGCTCTTGGCTGCTGCATGGGAGGAAGAGGCAGCATGAGCCACAGGGGCCCTGGAGCCCCCTCCCCCCACCGGGGGCTGGGCTGTGAGCACCACTCTGCGGGAGGCCAGCAACCCCTGGGAGCGCCTAGTTCTGGCAGCGTGGACTCTGTGTCCACCGTCTGGCTCTAGAGCTGGTCGAGCACAGTAGGCTGACGTTGTCTCAGTGACCAGCCAGGCCTCGGGCAGGCAATCAACGAGCCCAGGTCATGGGGTCCCCCTCCCAGGGTTTCTCAGCTCAAAGCCACTTGCAGGCCAGACCACGGGGGAGGCAGGACCAGCATGGTCTCCACCAATTGCTTTTCCTGCTCACACTGGACTGAAACACAGACTGTATTCTAAGGAGGAAGGGATTGACCCCCTGTGGAAGCACAAGAGGGTGCCAGGCTGGGCTGGAAGAGTGCCACGTGCCCTTGTCACTGCCCCCCGTTCCTGGCAGTGGCTGGCAAGAGGCCCATACATGGCAAGGGTCTTGGGGTTCTGGGTCCCGTCATCTGAGCCCCACCCAGTTTCCCCGTGGACTGCCTCACCATCCCTACTCCTGAATGGCCTCACCACAGACTGTCTGTGGTCAGCATCTGTCTCTGCAAGTCAGCCCCAAAGGGGCCTGGGCTCTGAACAGGGTCCAGCAAGATGAGCACACTGCATGGAAAGGTCCAAAGGCTCTCTCTTCAATGGGCCCCACACCCATGTCTCCCCAATGCTCCTCCTCATGGAGGCAAGGGGTGGCCCCGTGACTGAACCCTGCCATACCAGGCCCTGCCCACCCACCCACCTATCAGAGGCCTCAATGGAGGCGCAGGCCCCGACCCAGGCAATGGGCCCTAGCACCACTGCCCAGCAGTGGGTGAGTATCCTAACTGTGGAGCCACAGAAGAGTAAGAAGAAGGGAAAAAAGGAAGCCAGCTTACCTTAGAGAAAAGGAAAGGTGTGGGGTGGAGGGAGTGAGGAAGGAAGAGAGAAAACAAGGTTTGTGTTGGCCCCAGCAGGGAGTGCTTGTGCCCGAGGCGTGCCCCACCAAGAAGCCACCAGCCCATGCTTGCCACCACAGCCTCAACGCAGCCTCAACGAAGAGGAAGCAGCCTCCTTGCAGTGCAGCCCAGGGCCTGCTCGTGTGGAGCATGGAACGGAGACCCTACCAGGTGTGGCCCCGAGGCCTAGGGCTAAGACTGGAGAGGCTGCCAAGTGGCCTGTCTGCTGTCTGGCTCTGAAGGCCTGCTGGAGGAGACCAGGTGGCCCTGGGGGCTGCATGGGATGTGTAGTTCTGGGAATGCCCCCTGCCTACCTCAGCCCCCGGCTGTGACAGGCAGGTCTCTTTATCTGCCCCCCAGGTCTCCATAGCGAAGCAGGTAGGCATTCAGGAAGCCACTGAGATCCAGAGAGCCTTGGCAGCCCCTCCCAGGGGTGGCACCACCTACACCAGCAGCCCCTGGAGCTCTGGGGACATGCGAGTCCTCAGCCTCCCAGCTAGCCCTCGGGTGACTGTCATGACTTGAATCCACTTCAGAGAACACATGGCTCTGTGGCCAGCCCCAGGATGACTGGCAGCCTGCCCACCCCTATCCTCATGCATGGCTATACCGACTGCTGGTTGCTTCCTCCTCAGGGGCCCCCTAAGCTTTGTGCGTCGACACGGAGTTCATGGTGTGGCCTGTTGGTGGCACTTAACCCAGGAGGACGGTAGCCAGAGCAGGGACATCTGTAGTTTCTGTCTCCTTTACCCATCAACAAAACAAAATAAAACACCACTGCAAACTCACTGCCATCGAGTCAATTTGGACTATAGCAAGCAACTCTAGAGGACAGGGTAGAACTGCCCCTGTGGGTTTCTGAGGCTGTAAAATCTTTACGGGGGCAGAAAGCCCCATGGTTCTCCTGTAGAGAGGCTGGTGGGTTCAAACTGCTAACCTTAAAGTTAACAGCCCCAGATGAGACCCACTGCACCACTGGGGCCCTGCCTCCCTCACCAGCCTGGTTGTTCCTGTTGGAGGGCTCGCAGAGGGTCCCTGCAGGACCCGTGAGGCCGCTAGAAAGCAGTTCTGACTATGGAGAGCAGCAGGGCCATGCCCGCCTGTGTCCTGGGGCCTGAATCTCTGCATCTGTCTCCTTCTAAACTCCCCACCCAACTCCCACTCCCCTCAAGAGCTCCCCTCACCCCAGCCCTTGCCATTTGCAGCAGTTCTACTAGCAGAGAATAGGAGAACTGGAAATGCCCCTTCCCGGGGCTCCCTCCATCCCTGACAGTATGATTTGCCCAAAGCTCACTGGCATCACCCTACAACCTGCCTCCTTGTCAAACCCACTGCCAGGCTCCACTACCTCTGGGGCAGCCACATGGCACAGGTTCATCCCTCTGCCCTCTGCTAGCCCCGGCAAGGGTGGGCCCCACCTCCAGGTCGATTCCTCTCACAGACCCCCTGGTGTGTGGGGCTGGCTCCCCTCTCTGCATCTCCAACATAGGCCATGCAGTCCAAAGTCTCCCTACTCTGCCTCCAGCTGCTCAGGCACCAGGACCGTTACCCAGCCAGGCAGCCTAGACTTGTTCAGTGTGGTTCCCCCTGAGCCGGCAGGGAGTCACGGAGAGTCGATGGTCCTGACACAGACGAGCCGTGCCACAGGGGATGAGCGCGAAGGGGTTGCTCCCTTGGCCTCTGGAAAGGGAGGACCCCGGGAGGAAAGGGACAACAGCTGGGCAGGCGAGTGGGCAGATCGCACCCCCGCACTTTAAAAGACATGGTCTCATGAGAGTGGGTGCCTGTGTTAGCCTCTGTGGGCAGGCCAGAGCTGTTCCTGCAGCACCAAACCCGTCCCTGGTGCCCAGACCAACTCTGTCTAGGCTGAGTCCCCAAGGGCCTGACCGAGGGGCCTGCTGGGGCCAGCCGAGCACCCTCTCGTCCCTGTCCTCTCTCTCGGAGAGGAGGCCCCAGCGTCTGCCCGGAGGGAGGGGCTTTTGAGGGCCGCTGTACCTGGGGCTTCAACGAGTTTGTGGACAAACAGAATTAAACGACAATGAGATTGTTCCATTCTTTAAAAAAACTCTTCGAAGCCCCTTCGTATCTGTGCCTCTTGAACAGTCCAGATTTCCAAACTGTGTGGCTCAAGAGTGTGTCGGTTACCAAGAGGACGCGGAGACTCAAGTAGGGACCCGCTGCACACTGGGTCGGCTCTCCAACGCAGGTGCTGAGAGCCGCCAGGAGGGGGCGCATCTGTGCAACCCCAGTCAGGCGCTTCGTCTGCCTGGCAACCCCTCTTTATTCCTTAACCAATCCTGGACCAGCCTGGGGCACGGCCACGGCCACCCCACCCCACTCCCTGGGAAGGGCACCGCCCCCCGCCCCAGGCTCCTTCTGAGCCCTAGCTCCGGGCAATAGCCTTTCTTGGGACCAATCATTTCCTGGGAGTTCACACGTCTACCCTGGACGAACCCCAGACTCCCAGGGGCCAGATGCACAGCTTTTAGCTTCTGCACCCCTACCTTGGTAGTCAGAGGCTTCTAGAGGACCCCGTGGGGTCTCTCACCCTCAAGCCCATGACAAGGACCCCAAGAATCACAGAGCAGCAGAAGGAGTACAGGCACCTCAGCTGGAATCGCCCTGGCTGCTGAGAGAGGGCACCTGCCCCACAGCCACCTGTGCTCTCGTGAGGGCCCCCACCCCACCCTTGCTAGAAGTGTCTTCTCATGGCAGGAGAGATGCTGTAAGGGTCAAGCAGGAGCCTGGCGATGCGGTTCCGTCAGCTGTGACATGCTCTACCAAGACAAGGGGTCCCCTGTGGAGGACCGAGTCCCCCCCCCCCTTTCCCCTACCGTGCGTATAGCCGGTCAGGGTTGGCACAGCCCCTGGGGGGCCCTCCTCCATCACTTCAGGCCCCTCTCCCTGTGGGCCCACGCCTGGCCCCTGGGCAGCCATGCGGGCACCCCCACCCCCCACCCCACCACCATGCAGACTTTGGGACAGAGCAGTCTGGCTGTGGTGCAGCGCCTGGCGCATGCACAACCCCATGCACAGCTGCCCATGCTCCCTGCACGCGAGGCTGACTTCTCGGGCAACAGCCTCAGGCTCCAGAAGCAGCTGCCTGTCCGCCCCCCACCTACCCCCTCAATGCCCCACAGGACGGTTCTTTGGGATCTTGCCTCTGGACAGAGCCACAGGGTGAACTGGGCTGAGTCCTCACCAAGGACGGAGCTGCCCCTAGGAGCTCAGTGGCTCTGGAAGGTGGTGTGGAGGGAGCCAGGGTGGGCATGGCCCATTCCCACTGGGGCACCACAGGAATTCCAGTGGCCTTCTCCCAGGATTGGTCCACCCTGGCCCTCCGCCTGGACTGCAGTGGAGAGCCCAGGGGTTAACAGAAGGCCCTGGGGGCCACACGTGGGGAGGACAGAGATATGTGAGACCAGAGCTGGCAGGGCCTTGGACTCTGGCCTGAGCCAGTCTTATCCCCTCTTGGCCCCCAAAGGGGCAGTCGGTAAGAGATCAAAGGGGTGGGCCTTGGGGCGAGGCAAGGAGAGGCTCATGGTAAGAATCCCAGTGAGGACAGAGTCTGAGCGCCTGGGCCCCGGGCTGAACACAGCCTGTCCTGGGGGCTGCGGGCCAGAACGCATGTAGAGAACACAGCAGCCCCAGATCACGCTCCTGCCTGCCTGCCCACTCGCCTGTGCACAGCCCCGCAGAGGCGGGCAACATCGGAGGGCTGGGGCCCGCGGTGGGCTCGGGTGCAGGCGGTGGGTAGGGCTGTGAATATCCTATCTGTCCTCTCCGAAGGCAGGGCACGCGTGGGCCGTGAATGGGGACTGCCACTTCCCGAGGGCCTCACATGGTCTTTCGCAGGGAAGGGCTCTCCCTCTTGCCCTTCCCTGAGAGAGCTTCCTACTCGGGGTCCTGAGAAGCCTCCCGATGAGCCCAGATCCTTCAGGCCCGGCCACGCTGCCTGTGGCTGTGACGCACAATGGGTACATGGAGGACTAATGTGCTGGAGCAGAGACCAGGTCACAGGACCACGGCTCACGGGTGGTTCCTCGTGGGGGCTCCTTTTAGCCAGGTACACACAGGGCCAGGCGGACGCTAGGGAGTGATCTAGCTCAGCCCATCGCTGTGGCGCCGGTGGTCTTCCTTGGGGTGCACAGCCATGGCTGCTTGTGGTGAGGGGCCGCATGCTGAGGCCTGGCAGGGTTGGGGACGCTTGTCAAGACACATCTACCTTGCTCCACCAGCCCCATGGTGGCACCGGAGGCGGCGGTGGACATGGTGGCAGGAGCGGTGGTCTGTCTGCCCACTGTGAGCGCCGGGTTAGACACAGCAGAGGGGAGCGGCGACGGAGGGCAGAGGGGACACAGACGGGGCAGGCAAGATACGAAGAGAAGAGAGACAAAGGAAGCAGAAGAACATTAGAGTTAAAGTCTACGGAAGAGATGAGACTGCTGGTCCCAGGATCCCAAAGTCTAGGGAAGAGATGAGACCGTTGGTACCAAGATCCCTTTAGCCGGGAAAGTAGAAACAAGATTAATTAAGACTGATAACCATTTGAAAAGCATTTGCCTCCTTTCTCTAGAGAAAACCCCAGTGGGGCTTCTGGGGGAGGGGGAGAGGGAGGACACGGGCGTGGGTGAGGCCCCAGGGCCCCCACGTGCAGACATGACAACGTCCAGTTAGTGTTGGTGTGATGGTGCGCGGCCCGTCCCCAGCGGAACAATCACAGCAAAAGTAACGGGACAGGGGTGAGGCGCTTGGCATGGGGTGGGGGGCGGGGGTGGGGACACACAGCAAGAGAACGGAGCCACTACAACGACCCACAGAGAGGTGACAACAGAGACAAGACCTGGAGCCCAGGAGGACTCCACTCCCGCAAACCCTGCCTGCCCTCAGGCGCCGGGCTGGTGGCTGCCAGCCATGCAGCTCCTCCTCCGACTCACCCTCCAGCTTGCCGCCCAGCTCCCAGACACGCAACGGGTGCCCAGAGGGCTCAAGACGGAACAGAGCTGCCGGAACTACAGACACGCAGAGGGCACAGGAGGTATCTGGAGACAGGGTACAGAGACCACAAGCATGATGGCGGACGTGGGAGGCAGCTGGACCCTGAGGATTGGTCGAGAAGTGTGCCAGTCCAGGTGCCCAGGGCTCTGCAGGCCCTTGGGAGCCGTGGGACTGGGGTGTGGTGTGCTGCGGGAACGGGGAATGAAGCCAACTCGTGGTCACAGGGAGACCTTCTTGCTTCAGCTCAGTGGCTCAGTGAGGCCCTGCAGGTGGGGGCCATGGCCCCTCGCTCCTGGGGAAAGAGTATGCTCACCTGAAAAGTTCCGAGTGGCCAGCATGGTGGTGAGGATGGCTCCCTGAGTGAAGAAAAACACAGGAAGGCTAAGGGCTGGTCCTGACCCCCCTGGAAGCTCAGAGAACGGGGGTACCCAGTGGGCCCCTGGAGCACGGTTCTGGCCACTGGCCAGCTGCCCCACGTGCCAGCAAGTGGCTGCACAGGCTTTTGAAGGCTTTGGAAAGTCCTGACTCTCATGGGGCCTCTCTGTCATTTTGCCGGGGACTTTGGGGGAACAGGGTGCTTTGCAGAGAAGCCTCAGAGAGGCCAGCAGGGAACAGACCAGGGGGAGGGGGTGGTCACTGGGCCCTGGCTTAGCATGCTGTCCATGCGCAGGCACCCCCCACTGAGGCCAGTACTGAGGTGGAGGTAGGAGGTCAAGTGCACTGCTGGGATTCTGGGGTCTCTATTTAGGGCCTTTCCCTTCCAGTGCTCCCCACACTCCTACACTCACTGACCATTGTTTTCTTACCAAGGTGTGCTTGTCTCAGAAACTTCTCGGCTTCTTCGTACTAGAGAGCAAATGATTGACCACCCCACCCCATCCGCTTCTCTTTTCTGCAGCCACAGCCCTGGGGACCCAGAACCACCCCCACCCCCAGTGGGCACCGACTGAGAGGAGACAGAGAGCAGGGAATACAAAGGCTGGAGCTGGAGAGGGTTTGGACTCTGCCCTTGCAGAAGACTAGGCCTGCTCACCTTGAGCTTTCTCCTGGCATTGAACTTCTTCAGACATTCCACCGTCTCCTGTCTGTGCATCATGGAGGCCACCGTAGAGCGTTGCTGTGGGAAAAGGGAGTGTCAACAGCTGCAAGAACCCAGAGCGGCCAGTTTCATGCCCAGGGAGCTTGGAAGAGCAGACGGGACTCCTGGCAGAGGTGCAGGTGTCTCACACTCACACCGCATGCTGAAAGTTACAGGACACATCCCCCCCCTCCCCCCCTCCCCAGGAAAAAGCATGTCTCATTGCTGCCAGTATCTGTCCCTTGTCCCACATCTCCTTCTCAGTTGTCCATCCCCTGTCCTCTGTCCACTTCCATGCCTGCTTCCTGTCCTAGCCCCATCGCCACCCCAGCCCCGCCTTTGCCCCTGCACACCCCATCCCCATATCTGTCCCTCCTTCCCTGCCTCGTCCCCACCCTGATCCTCCACCTGCTCTCAAGCTCCCCCAAACCAGCACCAGTCCTCCCCCAGGCTCGCCCTCTGCCCTCATAGCTACGATTCCCTGACAAAGCGGGCAGGGTCACGGGAGAGCCCCACCCCCCTCTACACCCTTCCAGAGACTGAGGCTCACAGGCTCCACCGAAAAACCAACTTCACATAAGGCCACAGGCAAAGCACCAGACCCCAGAGCACTGGAGGCCTTTCAGGGTGGGAAACAAGTGTAAGGGAGGGGCCCTCTGGCAGCTCTGAGAATAAGCCTCCTTCTGACAGGTGCCCACAGAAGGTCCATGCGGGTCCATCTGCCAGCGCGCGTGCGCAGGCCACTTACGCAGACCCATGGGTGCTTCAGAGCCTCGTGGGCCGTGATGCGCTTTGCAGGATTGATGGTGAGCATCTGGTTGATGAGGTTTTTGGCTTCAGGAGTGACAGTGTCCCACTCAGGGGAGGGGAACTAGGGAAGGAGAGAAGACACGCAGTCGTGGGAAGCTCGTCATCAGGACCGGAAGCCGAGCTTGTCAGAGGCGCTCATCCTGCCAGGAAGGCGAGGACAAGCAGTCCCAGGCTCTGACCACAGTCGGCTTCATTGCCTCACCTCCTCCTTTCTTCCCAGGCTGCCCTCTCACCTGTGTGCCCACACTTGCATGGACTCACCTGTATGCACCCGCCCACCCACCTAGGCAGACAGGTACACACACTCACATGTACTGACCTGTATGTGCCCACACACCGACCTAGACAGACAAGTACACACACTTGTACGTAT